ATATTTTTTTACTTTGTCCTAACACTTTTGCACAGTACTGTACATATATTATTAAAAGATATATGTGCTTTTGGATACATTTCACAGTATTTCAATTCATTTAGCAATAATTCAAATGCTAAAAGACAATTCTGAAATTGAAGCTTTTTAGGAACTAATGCAAACGTTAAACCATGAAAAAACAATTTTTACACATCAATCAATATATATAATGAGGTTTTGAATAACATCATCATGTTACATAGAAAAACAGTTACTAGTGTACTTTGATAATAAAGCAATTATCAGGTTTGTTTACATTCAACTAATTGATTATTCTAACATGACTTTGATAACTGGAGTTATCAAAAAATAGTGATAATCGGAAAGACTAATTTGAAAAAGATGATTATTGACACTATTTGATTAAACTGAACAACCTTGAATTAATCTCAAATGATAATGAGAAATCATTATAGCAGAATTTCAATCATTTATTTTATGTGTTGCTAATTGACACTCATAGATAATTAGTTATATCTCAGCTCTACCCAAAATATTGCTTAACTGTAGGGTTTGTTTTATCATCTGGATTAAACCCTTGCAAGACAACATGCATTGACTGTGTTTCAGTTTATGAAGCCCTACCCGCTCTTCTATTCTAAAACTTCAAGCCAGTTTTCAGAAAATGTGTTCTTGTATTTATATTTATAACCAATAAATATAACTTTCTTTTTTTTCTATTTCAATCTTGCAATCATCCTTTTCAATTTTGAGGCATTTGTCAAGAGAAAGTGGTTGTATGTGCATAAGTAGAGTTGCTGCTCATAGAAGAAACAGAATTGTTTTACCTATTTATAGCTTAGCTAGAAAGCCACTTGTATGATAGTAATTTTGAAACATTTTACTATAGCGACTGAAACATTTTTTTATGTCCTAAAATATAGACTTGAAAGCTACACGAATTTTGTTTGGACAGTGAACTTAGTGAGAAAAACTAGTTCTGTTTAGTTACATGTTTGATTTGATTTATGAGAATTTACTAATGTGTTCCAGTATTAATATATTAGCTTTCACAGAAGAATAAATAAAGTGCTTATGTGGTACAAGTCAGGAAATTAAATCTAAATTGATGTGAAAATGTTATCAGTTGAAATTTTGTTTAACTGAAGGTCTGGTAAGAAATGATGCATTCAATGAAGAAAGACAATATTCATAATTTTAAAATTTTCATTTCACTGTATGTTACGTGATGATTTAGCCATGGTTTATGTTCATTTAGAAAATTATAGAGGTTATGCAAATGATATGAAAAGTATTTTTATTCTTAGTGTGAAAATCATATTTCACTCAGATCGACTTAGAAAAGGCTTCAAAAATTCATAGATAAAAAATCTTTAGTAAAAATACTTTGTAAAAGTCAAATGTTATATTTTGTGTTCACCATTCAGTTGCCTGTAAATTTTTATTGAAATGGTTAAAGAAGAATTTTTATTAACAATGTGTCATAGTAGACTTGTCTACAGTTTCAATCTATATTAGTAGGGTCTAAATTAACAGACATTGTTCACGTGTTTCTTACATCTCATTTATTCTATGTCAAGTGTACTTAAAAAGTATTCCACATTCCTACGCACATTTTACCTTTTGTTGCAATGTCTATGATTCTGACAAAGTAAGATTTTTTTTTTTAATTGTAGATTAACATGCAGGATTCAAGCTGCAAGAGTTGCCCTACATTTGAAAATGTGTTTGCAGCTAAACGAAGGTTTTTATGTGTAACAGTTTTAATGTTTATTTATCTCTGTTTAATAGTTTTAATATTTTGCGTGAGTGGTTTCTACTTATTCGTTTTTCCTTCTAGAAAAGAAGATAGCTAACCCTCCTTATAGAGCAGCTCCTCAACTTCCTGTGTCATCCCAAGTTCAGCAGTCCTCAGACACAGTACAGGTTGAAGGTGAAATAGCTGTTCTTTCTTAACCTTCAGTATTTTTTCTGAACAGTTGATTATTTTTAATTTTCAAAACAGTGATGGATGCTTATTCTTTGACAATATTATATGTGACTTATATCATAAACTAAACTATTACAGAGATTTCAGTGAATTATATTAAAACAATTTTTATTATGCAAGTCAGCAAATCACGTGACTACCACAGGTGATATAAAGTCTTGGCAGAACAGAATGTATAAGAACTACATTATTTGGCATCTCATAGGTAGTGTGATGCCCCTGAAAATTGATTATTTTGGGGGAGAGTATGTAACAGCCATATCATGCTCTCATGTCATAAGGTTAGCTCAGTTTTGGGGGTTTAGAATTTCTAAGAAGAGGATATCTCTTGTACTTAATGGCATTTGAAAACAGAGGAATGTGGATCAACTTGGGGTACCATGACCATCCAGAAAGAGAACTGCAACAAGTTATATCCAAGCTGAGATAAGCAAAGCTTTGTAACAGGTGAATATTTACAAACACATTGGTTATAGTAAAAGCCATCCATATGTGCTAAGCAACAGTGTGCAACATAATCAACAAAGCTCTCCATCTAGAAAAGCGAGAACACATCATTTGTACACAGATTATTTCCAAAATATGTAAGCTTAACCATCATATATCTCAAAAAGATGGAGAATGAAGTAGTTATTTATGCTATTCCATACAGGTCAAATTGCTGAAGTCAGTGCCTGTATATTTATGTGCAATTGGACTGTTGAAACAGGCACTGGGAACCATCGTCCTCACGCACCAGATGGAATATGTAAAGTTTAAGAGAGTAATGGTGTGCTTTGGACATGACAGTCTTGTGACAGAGCCTTTTGCAATAATTATGCTACAGGGCCATTTTTGAGATGCATATAGTAGTCAGATAGCATGACTAGACTGTAACTGCATGGTGAGGCAACAAAATGGTTTTTGATATGACATGTATAAAAGGCCTCATTGCACTGGATATGGCTGATGTAATGTGAATGAGATATTATTATGCTGGATATGGCTGATGTAATGTGAATGAGATATTATTATGCTGGATATGGCTGATGTAGTGTGAATGAGATATTATTATGCTGGATATGGCTGATGTAGTGTGAATGAGATATTATTATGCTGGATATGGCTGGTATAGTGTGAATGAG